CGTTTTCAATCAGTTACCTTGACGTTTCAAAACATCAGAAAATAAGGAGTCTGTCATTCCAAAAATGCTGTCTAGGCAACTGGTTCTGAGGCAGCCTGAGGGTTTTTCAGAGTTCCAGAACAATGCATGCATTGCTTACCTGTCAGATGAATAAGTCCACTGACTGAAAAACAACGAACACAAGAAATGGTTTTGCTGTTGCAGACGTTATGTGCTGTTTAGTGCACACTGCAGCTTAAACGTCTTATTGCCTGCAGCTCAGATCCATTGGTTTGCAAGCGGCCAAATAGACATGTTAACCCTAGTGTAAACTCTCCACCCACCAACTGTAGATTTGTAGTAGGTTCAGTCTGACTGCAAAAACAATGATAAGAAATGTTATTTACTGCGTTATGTATGTATGTATATATACAGTATAAGCATTTTTTATACACTAGAAAGATGCTAGCTTTATTCTGATTTATACTACATATATTTGGCATGTAAAGACTCGGCTGTTAGCTTTCCCTCAGAGCAGATCACAATTAGAGCAGAAAGGTTGATCTCAGACATCTGCTCTACTGTTAGGATTCTGAATTATAGGAGGCTTCATTGCTCCTAGAAAATATTGAGAATATAATTGAGCATTACAAGAGGAATATAATAGGATATAGCTCTTAAAATTATGTGGTGAAAGATCTAGACTTCGAACACACATTATAAAACACAAACATGAATATAAAATTGGTGTCAGTATGCATGCAAATAAGCTTGCAAATTTGATTATTAATTTAAAACAAAAATACATTTTAGGAATGAGTTATGCTCATTCATATATAAAGGGTTTTTGAGTGTTTTAATGTAATGTCTTACAATTTCACAAAGTCACTGACAGAATAACAACAGTGTTTTCTAGATACCATGAACTGTGACCATTATTGGCTGACCTATTTCTATATACAAGCCCAAAAAACATCCTGGAGAGTTTGGAAACTCTGTTTCAGACACCTTGCCTATCTGAGACAACCAATCAGAGGAGGTTTAGTGAGCCCCCACTAATTTATGATTAGTTATATCATAAAAGAGTTACTCAGTATTACTGTAATGTGTGCCTCAGGACTCTGTATCATTAACAAGAGCTTCTATATCCTGCAATTGTTGTTTTATTTTTTTAAGTAATTTATTTACCTTTATATGTGTATTGATTGTTTCCTGTCTGGTAGTTAATGTCTGAAGAAACTGCCGTGGTGCTTGTCGATGTACAATTTATGTGGAACTGAAAACCCTTTTAAATAATGTCAGGAAGGTCACTCGGATTGAGAACAACTATTTCAAACTACTTCAAACATTTGTGAACTTTGCGTACAAGCTACTGTATGTACTGTAAATTCACCCTCCAGTGTTATTTTAGTATCATTGATATACTATTATAATTTTATGTTTTCCATTCAATTTTAGTTAAAGTTTTAGTAATTTTCTTTGGTTATTTTGTCATTTATATTATTATTTTTTAAACAACTCTATTTTTTTTTATTAAGTTTTAGTTTTTAGTTTGAGATTATTTAGTTTTAGATATTTTAGTACTTCCAACTTAAACTAAACGAAATGACAAATGTTGCCTTTAGCAACTATTTGAAATAAGTTTATGTATTTATTTTATTTTTATATTTTATTTCAGTTAATGTTTAGTTTTTAATGTAGCCTATTTCTAACAAATCTTTTTGTGAATAAAAATAATTGGTAACACTTTATTTTAAGGTGTTCTTGTTACACGTTACATGTACTTACTATTATAATAACAATACATTATGCATAATTGCATGCAAGTAACCCTAAGCCAAACCCTAATCCTAACTCTAAATCAAGTCGTCAAGTTTATTTGTACAGCGCTTTTCACGATACAAATCATTGCAAAGCAACTTTACAGCAAATTAAGTTTCTACAATATTTAGTGGTAGCTTATCAGTGGTGACTGTCAGTTAATGTACATATGGCAGAAATGTACGGAAAAATCAATTTAATACATAATAAAACAGACGATGAACACTATTAACAGCAATTATTATATGATGCAATCAAACTTATAGCAAAATGTGGTAGTTCTGTAATAAATGTATAATTACATTGTAACAAGGACACCTTAAAATAAAGTGCAACCAAATAATTTGAAAAAAGTCCTAGTTAATTACTTGCTCAAAATATGGGCACTCTAGAAAACCAAACCTTTTTGTACTTGTACATTTGTACTCTAACCAATAGATGGCGATAGAACTGCAGCAGAGCTAGCAGCTGGACACGAAGAAGTCTTTATTGTCCCTCCTGGAAGTTAAAGGGATAGTTCACCCAAAAATGAAAAATTGATGTTTATCTGCTTACCCCCAGGGCATCCAAGATGTAAATAATACTAATAATATAATATTAATACTATATGTATTTATACTATATCCATGTTTTATCCTAATGTTAAAACATTTCTACCCCTCAGTATGAGCAATATAATATAATATAATATAATAAAAATCCATATTTTATCCCCGAGTATATGCAATATAAATAATATACATACAATACAATAAAAGAAAAGTAAATAAAATAAATTCTACTATAATATATATGTGTGTGTATCTATAAAATATTTTATCCAATTTTATCCTAAGTGTAAGCAATAATATAATATAATTACCAGGCAATGAGTGCTATGATAATACTAATAATATCTAATAATATAATATTTATATTATATGTATTTACACTATATCCATATTTTAACCTAATGTTAAAAAATTCCTACCACTTAGTATGAGCAATATAATATAATATAATAATACAATATAACTGGGAACTATATATACAGTGGGTACGGAAAGTATTCAGACCCCCTTAAATTTTTCACTCTTTGTTATATTGCAGCTGGAGAGGATCTGCAAGGAGGAATGGCAGAGGATCCCCAAATCCAGGTGTGAAAAACTTGTTGCATCTTTCCCAAAAAGACTCATGGCTGTATTAGATCAAAAGGGTGCTTCTACTAAATACTGAGCAAAGGGTCTGAATACTTAGGACCATGTGATATTTCAGTTTTTCTTTTTTAATAAATCTGCAAAAATGTCAACGATTCTGTGTTTTTCTGTCAATATGGGGTGCTGTGTGTACATTAATGAGGAAAAAAAATTAACTTAAATGATTTTAGCAAATGGCTGCAATATAACAAAGAGTGAAAAATTTAAGGGGGTCTGAATACTTTCCGTACCCACTGTATATATTCCTGTGTCTGTCTATAAATTCCCATTTTATCCCAATTTTAAAAAGTACTAGAGATGCTTGCATTACAACCTTTCAAAGGAAAGAGGTCACCGCTTATCTATTTAATGTCTCTTCTGGATCCAGAATCAGATGGCGAATCGCTTTAGGGCTCGTGCTGCTCGACTTTACCCCAATAAATGAATAAAATATCAATTACTTTCAGCAGAAGCCTGAAGAGGTACTTCATGTACTGAGGGTAAACGTGTGTACTGGGCCAGCTGGCAGAGGGCCCTTGGCTTTGTCAGACCTGGAAGGAGAGCAAAGCAGCAAACACTGGCTAAAGTAGCAACTCATTTAGCTGGAATGCGTAGCGGGGAAGGCAGGGCAGGGTGTTTAAAGGGTTAGCCGTCAGCGGGGCAGCAGCAGCACGCCGGATCGCTGGAAAGATTGAATAACGCTGCTCTGATCTGTCTCTGTGGGGATGAGGAGCTTCAGGCGGGACGTGCCAAGCAAAATGAGTAAGAGTCAGAGATGGAGAGGAAATGGACAGGGGAAAATGGATGGCATCACGCCAATCCACAGCGCACACACAACCACTCGCGCTGAGGAATCAAAGCTAATGCCATCTCAAGCTCTGGCTTTCCTTCTTGGCTTGAGTCTTGACTCTCTTATTTGAAAAATCAAATGACTATTACATAGTTAAGAAACTACGTAGACAGTTTTGTTTTTTTGTTTTAAACCAAAGCACACATTTGTGGTAAGCTATTTTCAGTCAGTCCTACTTTGCAAAAATATGAAGTACTCATATAATATAATCCAGGAGAAAATGACAGTATGCATATGTCTTTATGGTGAGAACGCATACTTTCTCAACCAAAATGAGCAACATCACTCTTCAAACACCACAAATCATTTTAACATTTAAAGAAACAGTTCACCCAAAAATGAAAATTTGCTGAAAATGTATTCACCCTCAGGCCATCCAAGATGTAGATGAGTTTGTTTCTTCATCAGAATAGATTTGGAGAAATGTAGCATTACATCACTTGCTCACCAATGGATCCTCTCCAGTGAATGGGTGCCGTCAGAATGAGAGTGCAAACAGCTGATAAAAACATCACAATAATCCACACCACTCCAGTCCATCAGTTAATGTCTTGTGAATTGAAAAGAAGCATTTTTGTAAGTAAAAAACCCATCATTAAGACATTTTAACTTTTAAACCGTTGCTTGACTCGCTTCTGGCAAAAATATAGTCCATAATCTAAATAACGATTCCTTCTATGAAAAAAATCCATCCCATTGTCCTCACATCAAAATCTACCGCCATATTTGTTTAGAACTGTTTTTGCTTGTAAACAGTGCTTGATCTGTGCAGTTCTCTCCTGATTCGGACAAGACGACTTTTTCACTGGAGAAAGCAAGATAATGAATAGAGGACTTGTATTTTAGTCAGAAGCAACAGTTTGAAGTTAAAACGTCTTGATGGATTTGTTACAAACACGTAACTTTTCACTTCACAAGACATTAACTGATGGACTGGAGTCATGTGGTTTACTTGTGGATTATTGTGATGTTTTTATCAGCTGTTTGGACTCTCATTCTGACGGCACCCATTCACTGCAGAGGATCTTTTGGCGAGCAAGTGATGTAATGCTACATTTCTCCAAATCTGATGAAGAAACAAACTCATCTACATCTTTGATGGCCTGAGGGTGACTATATTTTCATTTTTGGGTGAACTATTAATGTAAAATTTGTTTAGGCCTGAATACTGTCTTACTCACTTGGGGTGCTTGTCATACATGATGGGTAGAAACTCATCCACAGGAAGCATCTTGGATATCGGTTCGGCGTTCAGGAGCTTCTGAGCTCCCTGAAGAGAGATGGCGTAAGACAGCGTCCAGTAGGAGTAATCAGCGTACACCAGGTTCCTCACATTCTCCACTGCAACTTCCTCTTCAGGGTTCACCTTCTTCCTGCCCAGGTATCTGCAACAGATTACCACAACAGTTAAAGACACCTGATGAGGGCACTACATCTGTGATGAGTTTACTGTTGGATTGCATTTGTATCTTTTAAATAAGAAATTGTTTACATGGATATGGGAAATGTATGTTATAAAATCATAAAAGCAAAACTGAAGTCTTCCTTATAACTGCAGCAAAGGCAATATTCTGATTCTGGTTTCTTCTAGTTACCACAGCAACCGTGTGACAGACAGGTGTCACTCACATGATGTCCCAGTCCAGCTCCACCTGCTCCACCTCCTCCATCAGCCGCATCAGGCGACGTTTAAAGTTGGCTTGGAAACGCACGTCGTCCTCAAAGATCAGCACCTTGTCTAGCTGCATATCTACCATCTATGATTCAAAGAACAGCAAATCATTTTGACATACTAAAAACACAGCATGTTTCAATTTTAATATAGACTACCATTCAAAAGTTTGGAGTCAATAAGATTTTTTTAAAGAAATTAACACTTTACAAGGATGCATTCAATTGATCAAAAGTGACAGTGAAAACATTTATAATGTTACAAAGATTTCTATTTCAGATAAATGTTGTTCTTTTGAACTTCATATTCATCAAAGAACCCTGAAAAAAATATGATCACAGTTTCCACAAAAATATGAATCTGTTTTCAACAGCATATTATTATGATTTCTGAAGAATCATGTGACATTGAAGACTGGCGTAATGATGCTGAAAATTCAAAATATTAAAATATATTCACATAGAAAACAGTTATGTTAAATTGTAACAATATTTCACAATATTACTGCTTTTGGCACCATTTTTGATCAAATAAATTCAGCCTGGATGAGCATAAGACACTATAAGAGACATTAAAACTTTTTACATTTTTTTATATTGTGAATTTTAGCTACATTCAACACTTAAGACAACTAAGCTGCTCATGCTTAAAAATTTCTTTATGTCTCAGCATTAGAATTCAAGATATTTCTTAAGTTCTTTTTTAGAACTTAAAAGACTCCATTTGTTAACATAAGTTGACCACACTAGTTAACATGAACTAACAATGAAAAATACTTCTAAAGCATTTATTAATCTTAGTTCATGCTAATTTTAACATTTCGTAATACATTAATAATTAAAAGTTGTATATAATGCTATAATGATAATAATAATGTTATTTAATAACCTTCAACTAACATTAACAGTTAACTAAAATGAACAAAGCTTGATAAATACTGTAATAAATGAATTGTTCATTGTTAGTTAATGTTAGCGAATGCATTAACCAACATTAACTGGCGGAACCTTATTGTAAAGTGTTAGCGATAACAAAATATCAAACAAAGTGGCATTTATGTAAATAGTTTTAGGGGCCACTGACCTCTTTCCAGATGTAGTAGTGGCTGAGGAAGCAGCCCACCTCTCCCTTGGTCAGCGTGCGGCCGGAGAAAGGGTCGTAGTAACCAGGTAAGAGATCGACACCTAGAATCTTAATATCGCTGCTGTTCAGAGCTCTGCATGCACACACCAGTGAAAAAAACTCAATTATTGCTCTTGTTATCATTTGCATATATAAAAAGGGGATGAATAAAGATTCCTCTTAGGAGTAAATGTCTGTACTTACGCTCCATCTACAGCATCCACAACTTTGGCATCAATCTCTAGCTCATAAAGCGACCATAACATCCTGTCCCTGCGGTCTGGACGTCTGCGCAGGTTTATCAAGTAGATCTGAGGTGAACAAACACACATGCTAAATGTTTCACTCAAAGCAATGGTAAAATACAGAGTATGCGCTCAACTTTACCTCATCAAAGCCCATGAGATCAGACTGTTTGGGAGGAACGTGGACATAGCGAGACAAGTACATTGGCGGCCCATGGACTGTGGGAGAAATTACTTCAGTTAGGACACAAATCCTTGACAATGATTCGGTTCGATTAAGCAGCTGATCGCTAATTAGCACCAGATTAGTACGATCTTCACATACAGTGGGGTTCAAAAGACTGAGACCTCACTGAAAATCACACAAGAAGCTCTTTAGGACATTTTATGCTGCAGGATCATAGGCGGAGGGTGGACCAACTCCAGGGTAAGGCTAAAAGCAGCCAAATCTATTAACTACAAACATCATAAACACGTCTTTATAAGGCAAGAACCAGACATGGGTGTCATGTAGCCTAATAAAATATGTTTAATGGGCCTGAATTTGTATTTAACGTGATTACGATTTAATAAAAAACATTAGAAATTAGTAGTTATAAAACGTTCCCTTTCCAAGGTTATTCAAACAGCGAATCAATTATTATACAGAAAGTGACATTATCTCTAACTTTGATCTAGCGTGAGTTTAAGCACTCTCAAAAAAAAAAACAACAACTATGGCTCTAATCACTAAAGCTGTCTACACTGTGAAATTAATCTCTTGCTTACATTGTACATACAGGTGCATCTCAATAAATTAGAATGTCGTGGAAAAGTTCATTTATTTCAGTAATTCAACTCAAATTGTGAAACTCGTGTATTAAATAAATTCAATGCACACAGACTGAAATAGTTTAAGTCTTTGGTTCTTTTAATTGTGATGATTTTGGCTCACATTTAACAAAAACCCACCAATTCACTATCTCAACAAATTAGAATATGTTGACATGCCAATCAGCTAATCAACTCAAAACACCTGCAAAGGTTTCCTGAGCCTTCAAAATGGTCTCTCAGTTTGGTTCACTAGGCTACACAATCATGGGGAAGACTGCTGATCTGACAGTTGTCCAGAAGACAATCATTGACACCCTTCACAAGGAGGGTAAGCCACAAACATTCATTGCCAAAGAAGCTGGCTGTTCACAGAGTGCTGTATCCAAGCATGTTAACAGAAAGTTGAGTGGAAGGAAAAAGTGTGGAAGAAAAAGATGCACAACCAACCGACAGAACCGCAGCCTTATGAGGATTGTCAAGCAAAATCGCTTCAAGCATTTTGAGTGAACTTCACAAGGAATCTACTGAGGCTGGGGTCAAGGCATCAAGAGCCACCACACACAGACGTGTCAAGGAATTTGGCTACAGTTGTCGTATTCCTCTTGCTAAGCCACTCCTGAACAATGAACTTATCCACGACATTCTAATTTATTGAGATGCACCTGTACATCTGCGCGACAGGTGTCGGAATTCAGTCAGCGAACACGCGCGCGCTCAAAACTGATGAGTTTCAGCAATGACTCATCTGAACGCCTCTGATTGGTCATTGCATTCCTAAGCTCAACAGACTCGTGTGTGATTGGTTATAATGCGCAACACTGTAAAAATGCCTAAAATGAAATACAACATGAGCAGATCTTAATTTAATGCAGCAATCGACACTTTCTATTCATTTTCATTTTGTTAGCAACAGTCGTAATAGATTTAATTTGTTTGTGCAGGGGCATTTTTGTCCAATTTAGTGGCATTTTTGCCCCAACTCGCTTACACACGCTCCGCCTGTGTGCAGGATCATCAGATTTTGTGAAGTTCATAGCTATGGAAGCAGGTTTCTTCCTTTAAATTAAAAGGTTATTGTTACTTTTTCTCATAATTGACTTTATATCTTGTTATTGTGACTTCATATCCCATAAAGTGACTTTATATATTACAACTGCAACTTTTATCTCACAACCTGACTTAATATCTCACATTTGTGACTTTAATTTCATATTATAATGTTCATCTCATAATTTCCCTCATGTTTTTTTTTTTTATTCTTGTCAGTTGCTACCCTTGTGAAAAAGAAATGCACTTTTGCATATTTTAAAACGTGTACTAATTTTTTAAATAATGTACTTTAAAAGATTTTTCAGACACTTAATTGCATGTTAGTTACAATTAAATTAAAATGTTTTACAGCTTAAATTTATATTCGATTCAATTATCTGAAATTTGTAGTGTTTTTGACCCACTTATGTTATACTAATGTACATATTTATATATAGTTCATAATTACTTCTATTGTATTCTACTGTACTATTGTACTTCTACTGACTAAAATATACTTTAAATTAATTTCTATTGAAATGTATATGTCATGTATTTACATACATTTGTAATTACGCATATGTATTGATAAAGGTGCAATTTAATAAATTTAAAATATATTTACTGTACATGTAATATCAAATAACACACTACAATTCATAGTCAAGTACTTTACATGTGCTTTAGTATGTTAGTCAACACATAAAAATAAATTTGACTTCTAAAGTGTATTTCTTCAAAGCATGACAAAAATTATTAAAAGACAATTATTTAAAATATACTTATATTTTACTTATATACTTTATTTATATAAAGTAAAATTCTCAATATGACATTATTAAAAGGTGCACTTTATAAAAGTGTATTTCACACTCAAAAATAAAAATTCTGTCATCATTTAATCACCCTCATGTTGTTAGATAATCTTTGAAAAACAAATGACAGTATTTTTATTTTTATCCTTCTATTTAAAGTCCAGGTAACCAAAACTTTAAAAGACCCCAAAAGGTCATAAAGTGTCGTAAAATAAATCCATTCAAATCTAGTGGTTTGAAGTCTTGTAAGGAGATATAATCACTTTAAGTGTCCTTTTATTTTACTATTATTATATAATCTGTAAGTACTTTTTTACTATACTTTAAAGAAGTACTATAGTTGCACCTTTAAAGGGGTCATATGATGCGATTTCAATTTTTCCTTTCTCTTTGGAGTGTTACAAGCTCTTGGTGCATAAATAAGATCTGTAAAGTTGCAAAGACTAAAGTCTCAAATCCAAAGAGATATACTTTATAAAAGTTAAGAGTCAGCCACACCTACCGAAAACGGCTCGTTCTAACACGCCCCTACATGTCTACGTCACAATGTGGGAAGATTTGCATAATGCCGCCCAAATGTGCACGCAAAGAAAGAAGGCTTGGTTTCAGGAACAGCAGTAGTGTTGATGCAGCATGTCAGGGAGACGCTGTGTGTTTCAGTGCGAAAGCAAAAGCACTTTATTTGGCCTTCCGGAAGTAGATGCAATTAGGAATCATTGGTTAAGATTTATTTACAACAGAACAGCACAACACAGATGTTCGAATTTGTGCAACGCATTTTATGGACGACAGTTTTTTGAACCTAGAAGAGTACAAGGCTGGCTGTGCACAAAGGCTATTTCTAAAAAAATAAATAAATAAGGGTCAATTCTGACTTTGCTATGACAATCTGGCGCTTCTGAATCAGCGACTGTAAGTATGTTTTGTTATTAGTTTAAGTATTTGCTATTGACTGTTCAAATGCGGAGTTTTGCGCAGCTCAGAGTAAAAATAATGATCTTTAAAATAGCATCATATGACCCCTTTAATACAAGTGCATTTCTTTTTCACAAAGGTCATGCTAGCTAGCTTAAGTGCTGTTATTAAAGTGACATCCTGAAATTGTACATTTTTCAAGTTATCGCACAAGATTTATTCTAATAATATAATTTAATCAAAAAAATATCTAAATGTCAGTGTTACTCACTCAAAGAGTCCAGGTAAAGGTGGACAAAATTGATTCGATCATCCTCCACGGTCTGATGAGGCTTTGCAGGTACGTTCAGATACCCATAACGCTCCTTGTTGCACAGAAACATCTGAACCTCTGTTTCAAAGAGTGAATCATATCAGATAAATAGTGTCCGAAACTTTACTCAGTCCATCTCTTTCCAAAGCTATTTGACTGTCAATCCTAAAAAATGTTACAGTCAGTTGGACACAGGGAAGAATTTTTCCCTCAATCCCTCCAAACTAAATCCAAATGTTAAACTCATCATATTGCGTAAGAGAAATGAGATACGCTGGAGTCGTCCAGAAGGGGGCGCCATACCTGATATTCGGCAGGAGAAGGCAAAAACGATGATGTCGTCAAAGGGCCAGGAGTAGTCTTTGTGAGGGGGGTGAAAGGACACTTTCTTGGTGCCTTCTTTGCGCAGGTCCAGCAGAATAGTGGAGTGGACCATCGGCACCGGGTAGCAGCCCAGCCTTTGACGCTGTTTTGTGGGAAAGTACTCAGCAGTACGACGATAGTATCCCTGAGACAGACAAAAAAAAACTGAACAACACAGCCAAAGGACAAAGTGTTTGAGCAAACAGACCTATAATGAACTATTATCCTCAAATGTGATGTTGTATTTCTTAGGAGATCCACACTTAAACTGAATTGAGGAATTGTTTTGTCACACTGTTTATGCACAGAGCTTTAGTGTGCTTTGTGAAATGTGATTAATGAATCAGATTGTTTGGACAATTCATGTAAATTAACCCATTTAAAAATGAATCACAGATTAAATTTTCCATGCAGAAGTTCCAATGCAACATTTCATGTCTTTTTGTAGCAAAATATTTAGTTACATATTTGGTGAATGCTGTAATATAGGTAAATATTTATGTAAATTATTTAGATTACTGCAAAAATAAATCTTTCCTTTTATGCTGTATATATAAACTACTATTGAAATGTTTGGGGTTGTATAAGAAATCTCTTGTGCTCCCCAAATGCTGCATTAATTTGATGAAAAACACAGTTATATTGTGAAATATTATTACAATTTAAAATAACTGATATCTGTTTGAATATATTTTAGCAGCCATTACTCCAGTCTTCAGTGTCACATCATCCTTCAGAAATCACTCTAATATCATGATCTGATGCTCAAAAATTATTAGTGCTGGGCAACGGTTAATCATGATTAATCGCATCCAAAATAAAAGTTTTGTGTACATAATATATGTGTGTACTGTGTATATTTATTATGTATATATAAAGACACACACATACAGTATATATTTAGAAAATACTTACATGTATATAATTATATTCATATAATTTATATTATATATAAATATATACAATATATAAACTTAACCTATTTTTCTTAAATATGTACATGCATGTGTGTATTTATATATACATAATAAATATACACAGTACACACAAATATATTATGTAAACACAGACTTTTATTTTGGATGTGATTAATCGCGATTAATCGTTGCCCAGCACTAAAAATTATTATTATCGATGTTTTAAATTATATATTTTTTTCCTGTCCTTTGATGAACAGAGGGTTCAAAACAACAACATTTATTTGAAATACAAATCTTTTCTTAGAATATAAATGGCTTGACTATTAATGGCTGACATTTCTGATAAATTAATGCATCTGTACTAAATAAAAGTATACATTTCTTTAAAAAAACAAAAACAAATTGTGACCCCAAACTTTTGAACAGTATATCATACACACACACACACACACACACACACACACACACACACACGCATATATATATATATATATCATATATATCTCATATATCATATATCATATATATATATATCATATATATATATATATA